TGTTACATTCCCTTCGAAAATTTCCGTTTCAGAAACGAGGGATTTTGCAATTTAGGTGTGCGTTGCCGGTGAATCCTTAATCTTGTGGACAAATAAAGGCCAGTTCACCCGCTTGTCGGCGCATTGGATCAAGACACCCAATCCCTATTTCCTACCCTTAGCTAGGAAATAGCTAGTGATGGGCCTTGACTTTAGTTACCAATGTAGGGATGCATCCGTTGTAGGAGGTGTACGTCGTTGAGTGGTGCTCGTTATATAGAGGTTACTAGTTCCTAGGCATGCCCCCTTTACCTCTGTCGTCAAGGGCCCTGTATGTTACTCAAGGCTGTGATGGCTTGAAAATAATTTTAGCGCAAAATTGTTCGTCTGTCGTTTGGAAGTGTCCGTTACTGGAGGTTTTGCAGTATAACACGTAAGCCTGCACTTAAAATACTTATTGAGATAGATGAGAAGGTCGATGCAAGACTCAAGACTTTATATAAAGCCACAAGATCCAACCACTAAGCCCATTTAACTTAGCTTATTAAAACTGGATGACAAATCTTCATCGACTGAAGCAACCAAAGAAATTCGCTTTTTGTCCTAGAGCCTGGTTGGTCAACAAGACTGGAAGATCTTTATCGTTGTTTTACAGAGGACAGCCATTTTATAATCCTTAAAGTATTTGGGACCACGGTTTCTCGGAATTTTTATTTTAAAAGAAGAAATAGTTAGTGTTTTCACTCGCTGCATAAGAGATAATTCAATCAAAGTGGGAATCGTGGAGGATCTCAGGGGCTAATTTACCAAACCTCTCTCCACATTAATGTGGTAAGAGATTAATAAATGTGGTGAAGTTATAAATATGGCTTATTCATCGTGTATGGTTTGTTGGGATAACTTTTAAGGCCCCTCCAATCTCGGTGCCTGGCCTGCTTACACCACCTTATGCAGCGGCAGATTAAAGGGGGGGGGCAACTAGGGACAGTTGCCCCTCTCTCGTCGATATGAAGCAAGTCTGGCGCTTTTTTTTGGAAATTATGCGCCCCATTCGAAGAACGAGAATCAAGTAACAAAGGTTTCTGAGACTTAAAGGTTAATTTACTTCAAGGATTACCTCACAGTATGCAACAATTATTGTGAAAATTTCCTTACAAAGTGAATAGAGAGCCTGCTGTCAGTAGTAAGGGTCTGAAATTGTTGTATACAGCTTACACTCATCACCAATTTTTGAAAAATTTTCAGCGCCCCCACTACTTTCTGCCCCTTCTTCAAATATCCTCTGGATCCGTCCCTGACTCTAAAACAGACATTGACTGTGTTGGCTGCAGTATAAAGTAAATGTCTCTGGGTAATTTACGGAGCTCCGGGTAAGGCTGAGTACTGAAAATTCTTTAACACATGACCAAATTTGGGTACCCTAAATTCCTTGGCAAGTTGTTCCTTCGTATTATTTCGAAACAGTTTCAGGAGAAAGTTTATATAGACTCATAAAGATGTCAAAAGACAAGTAAAGTGAACAATTTTGAACTGTTTATGCATGTATATGATCAACTTAAAGAAACTTAATATATTCAATGAACATATTCAGTGCATTAAAGGTTCAAATTTTCACATTTTTAGCAGTCCCCCATTCTGTACTAACAAAGCCTTTTATTTTTGTCCATCCGAGTTCTGACTTCCTGAAAAACTCTTTCTTATATAGTATGCGCGGATATGTAAAAAAAATTTATGCCAGTTGTCTCAGAGAAAATTAGTATTAATCATTCGATCACTACTCAGAAGATTATATAGGTATTTTTGGGAGTGTACCTTGTTGACAGCCGGCAAAAAATTAGTTCAAGCTCTGAATATCTGTATCGGATAGTTTCCCCCGCAGTCACATCCCTCCAATAATCCTACAGAGCACTGAATACCACGGCTCATTTTTCAGGCTACACAAAGAGCTATAGGCGATCTGCATCCTTCCGTATATTTAAAAACGTTGTTTGGCTTGTAGCTCCCAAACGTTTTCTTAATTATAGAGTACTGAACCAATATGCCCCCATTGTTAAGATATTAAAATCAAGATGAGATTATAACCTTGAAGATGAAACTTTTGGAAATATGCACGAAACTATATAACGGAATCGAAGGAGCATAAATGTATAAGTCGGCGATCAAATAGACGAGTGCCAGGCAGAGTTGATCTGAACGAAATCCTGCGAAGTTGTATCGCCAATTAAAGGTTTTTAATTCAAGATACTCTTCACATTTTTTGAGGCAAGTGCCTTAAATTCTTTGTCCAGTTAAATTGTTTGTGAGGAACTTCTTCTAGATGATAAAATAAGATTAGACAGAAATGAAATTAGACACTCAAGTTATAGGATTTTTCAAAATCTGGTCGTTGCAATAACAGGCTTTTTGTTATCCAAGAAAAGACATATTGTGTACGATTGAAGTGCCCCTTGCGATTATTGTCTGGTCTGAAGGCACAACAATCGTGCAAAATATGATACCAGCATGAAAACTTCACAACCTATGTAGTTAGAGGTGTAGAATAAAATGCAAAACAGGCCCAAGCTGAAAAATGCCGATTAAAGCTATTATTAGAACATTTAACTTGTTCCCAGTCCTCATAATGAAATAAGTCACTTGCAAACGATTTAACAATTGTATATCTGCAAAATTTGATATTCATATACAATCTGAAGTTTGAAATGTCGTGCCAAGGAAATAGTGCCCATAAATTACCCCATTTTCTATTTTTAGAACATTGAACTTGGTCCCAGTCCCCAAAATGTAAAAGTGACATGCGAGCGATATAACGGGAATTTGTCTGCAAAATTTGATAATCATATACAATCTAAAGCTTAAAATGTCATGCCAAGAAAAGAAGGACCATAAATTGCTTTATTTTCTTTTTTTTAGAACATTGAACTTGGTCCCAGTCCTCAAAATGTAAGAAGTATGTTTCTACAAAATTTGGTATTCATATCCGATCTAAGGTCGCATTGTCATGGCAAGAAAATAAGGTCCCTGAAGTACCCATTACCTTTTTCAAAACAATTAACTTGGCTGCATACCTCGAAATAAAAAAGTGATTTGCGAGCGATGCAGCCTGTGTATCTCAATTGGTACTTATATACTGTACGAACTGATAGATGAAGTATGTTTCAAAGTCTAGTTAAGGCAATCTTTGTGACCAGCATTTTCATACACTCATCTATTGTTGATAGCCGACAAGCACAGTCGTAAAGCAGAATAAACCTCTCAATAGACTGAACATCATCCTTAGTCAGGTCTCTTGCGTTTCCCTACGACATCCTGTGAATAGAAAAAGACTATCATATTGCTAGGGGAGGCTACTTACGCACTAAGTCAAGGCAGCAATTTATTTTCCATTACCTAAATGAAAAACGTTTTTGTAATACCAGGGTTTGATTTTCAAAATCCCATCCGCTACTTTTTCTCTACCGCAGAGTGATAAAATTTTATCACACCCTGCGGAAGCATACCAACAACGTCACCCACTGCAAATATTTACCTCAAGTTTTGCAGCATACGTGTGTATTTGGAATCATCGCTTTTTATCCGTCCAAACATCGTCCAAACTAAACTCAATCCACATATTTTCGATGTTGAGCTCTCGAAAAAGGGAGACCACCATTGCAATGACCTCTGTGTGTACGGTCCAGATGCTGAATTCTTGGTGAATTGTTTCTGCTGCATTTTTTGTGTGAAGGAAAATGCACGCGATTTAAGCCATAAATTTCAAAACAAAACGTTGCACATTGATTAAGAGTGCCATAGATATCTTTTTAAAAAATGTGATATTTTAAAATGCTGCAAACTGGCATGGGAAAAAATAGGCATGGGAAATGAAAATGGAATAATTTTTGAATTTTGTTTGCTTTGCGTCATAATTCATGCATGAATTTTGACGCAAAAAAGATAAACTTATCAAATGCACTTTTGGCAATTTATTCACTTTGTGAACTTGGTAAGGACCAAATTATTCTAAAAATGGAGCTCATATTTATGGCATGACATTTCAAACTTCAGATTGTATATAAATATTAAAGTTTGCCGACATAATCTCATTAAGTCGATCGCAAGCGACTTTTTCATTTTGAGGACTGGGACCAAGTTCATTGTTCTAAAAATAGAAAATGGGGCAATTTTTGGACCTTATTGCTTGGCATGACGTTTCACACCTCAGATGGTGCAAACATACACTCGTTTTATCGCTCGAAAGTGATTTTTTCATTTCGAGGACTGGGACCAAGTTCAATTGTCTAAAAATAGAATATGGGACAATTTATGGACCTTATTGCTTGGCGTGACATTTTACACTTCATGAATATCAAATTTTGCAGATATACACTTGTTAAAGCGTTCACAAGTGACTTTTTTCATTATGAGGACTGGGAACAAGTTAAATGTTCTAAAAATTGCTGTTAGCGGCATCTTTCGGCTTGGGTCTGTTTCGCATCATATTCTCAAACTACATAGGTTGTGAAGTTTACATGTTGGTATCATATTTTGCACGATAGTTGCAAAATTTTGTGTTAACAGACCTATGAGAGTGAGGCAAAATCACTCAAGTGGAACTGCTGGCAAGAAGACGATCTCGCATCAAGGGCTCAGCGCGGGGCTTAGTATGGGAAATGGCAAGGCGGACGAAAAGAACCAAGAGCTAATTAATCAGCAACGTGCTAAAGACTTTTAATGATGGAGATTTCGATTCTCTATTTTAGATTTCTATATCTATCCGAAGATTAAAATGTATCAGAACATTAACCTGCAACTGACAGTCTTTGCTTGGAACTCTACCTGTTTTTCACATACAAAGCATGCTTCTTTCTTAGCTACTTTTTAGATTATTGCAGGATTTTGAGAATACGTATAAATCCACTTAGTTCCATATAGACGAAACAGATTATGTTGATTTGACTAGCCGGTTCTCGTGGGAAAGCCCCAGGCTTCTAGATCCCACAATTTTGAGTTAATTGTAATCTTGCTTTCTTTTTCTTTTGCAGCTCAAGACATTTCTCAGGTGAGGCATTGCTCGTATCTAACTAAACAAAATTCTGCGGTAGTACGATAACCCAAGGCAACGGACAATGTCACCTGAAGCCACACGGAGTACACTCATTTTTTATAATAAACAAAGGTCGATGTTGAGTATTCCAGTTTCTTAATTTTCTGGAAATTTCAATACTCAAATGATGTTATGAAATGTTAGTGACCTTTTTTATCACGTCAGGAGATTCGCTTCCGTTCCGATGCTGTATTTAGATGTGGGAAGTATATTTTTAACCCTTGTGTCTTAAGTTCTAGGCCAACAAGGCAATCTTCCGCCAACAAGTTCGTTGTTCTCAGTTTTATCACGATTTAAAAGTTTCTTATTTTTTTTGCTTCGAGTACTGAAGTCTCTTAATTTTTTCTGACTGTCCAGTACTCGTTCCTTATAGCCAGTTTCTTATAAAAAAATGAGTGTACTCGAGCAGCCACAGCTAGACTGGTTGAATTTGCGAGTTTATAAGTTGACGAGACCAGGTGCTCTTACTGATCATGTTTCTATTCTGCTCTTGCAATTATACGAAATTTATTTCAATATAAAGGAACTGCGTGCAGTAAAACCTCTTGACAAAAATTGAATGGATCTGTGTTCTCAGGCAAAAAATATCTAATGATATCTGAAGTATGTATTCAATAACAGTTCTTATCTCTTAGACAGCGGTATTGCGGCGGGTCAAAGAAAATGTTTAAAAATATGTTACTGCCATTTCATTTAATGTTTGGAAATATCTGTCCACCATCTACAATATATTATTGATCAATTTACATGTTTCTTACTAGAGGCTTTTTTCTTTTATTGCTTATTTACATCTGCGTACAAAATAACTAACGGCAACAAATTTCATTGAAATGTATTTTCTCCTCAAATAAAGACGCAAAATTTATTAGAAAAATTTTAAGGTATATGAAAAGAATGTATACATTTCCGAGAAGTTAATTAAATAGTATCTTTGAAGTGGCTCAGTACAAATAATGATTTCTCATCATCAATGCTAAGTTAGGTAGGACACACTGCCTGAGTTACACTTTTAGATAAACATGGTCAAACTTAGATGAAACGAATGCCTTTCTTGTTCATAAGCTGCTTTCTTTCATTTCAGGCGAATGGAGCCGTTATAAGAGGCGATCCTGGTCCAAAAGGAGATCAGGTGATTTTCGACAGAAATTATTTGTCGTTTTGTTACCATTGCAAAGTGTACTTTGGAAACAAAACATGGGGCAGAAAACATATATTTGTTTTTTGGGGAAGCGGTAATCGTCATTTCCTGGAGTCGGGAATCGGGAAATGGCAATTTTTGTGATCGGGATTCCGGAATTATTAACACCGGGATTCGAGAATTGATGGTTCGGAATCGGGCTAAAATCATAGCGGGAATTCGAGAGTCAGGGGACCTATTGGGTACCCTCACAAAACAATGTCCAGCAACATGTCAAAGGCATAGCACTTTAATACTGGAAATTCCACAGTCCAAATAATGTTGTCTGCTACAGTCATTGACATAGATACAAACTCTCTTCAATCTGCAAAACTGCAGTTTCCCCCATCATTTACTTATTGTTAACTTACCACGCTGCATTTGCCAATTTATTTATTCATAACATTGATCATATTTGTTTCTTACATAATTTTTTACCAAAAACTTCTTTACCGTGTAGTTTTGTGTGGAGTAAAAATTTACCTAATGTATATATATATGATTTATTTTTCTATCAGTAAGATAGTATTTAATAGGATGCCAGGGTTCAGGGCAAAACTCGAGTTCGTAAAATACTTTGCTAGCTATGATGCATGTATTGATCTTCAGAATCTTTGCCTTAGAGTATTTTTGACCTTGAACGTTAAGGACGGGATAACCCGTTAAGATCTGATGTTATTATTACCTATGAGTTTTGTTTTGGTATTAAGATGTATTTCCGGTCTCATTGCAATCTGTTTGCAAAACACAAGATATGATACAGAAGTCGCTAAGATTAAATGGATAGAATCCTTCTCTTCTTTATAAAGCAATTTAATGATGAGCCGGGTAATGTAAAGCTTGCTATCGCATAAACACGACGTTAACAAAACTAATACTCAATCGCCTTTAAATTCCAGCCAATGGCTGCTATATTCTTATTGGTTCATTTATCCTTTTAGCTAGACCACGAATAAATGAACCGAAAATTCTGATAAGCAACGTGTCATTTATTGATAAGAAATAGACCGTCTTCAATTGTTCGTTTATCCGACAGACGAGAGGTGTTATCTTCACTTGCCTCCCAGCTCTTTGCGTTATATAAGGGCTGATTGTAATGTAAATCAAATTAATTACGTTGAGTTTTGAGCTCAACGCCCAAAATTTCAACGAACCCTCTAATTTTATTGCTTAGTAAAGCTAAAGATACGACTTTAATGGAAGGAATTAGCCTTGTTGTATTCAAACATCTGCGTAGCTATGAGTTCAGAACATGTAGGAAGGAAATTTTCAACCAAAAGTTTGAGTAAAGTCCAGTATTGAGGGTTTCATGGTTGGACAATTTTTCCATTAAGGATTTGAGTGTGGGACAATCATTGATTTTCCAGCACAATGCTAGGATGCAGTATCGATAAAATTTCATGCAAAAGAATTTCTGCGATGCCTTCGCTATGTATTTCTGCAATGTTGGTTAGTAGATTGTGAGTATCAGCTGACTCTTGTCTTACTATCTGCTGTGTTTATCTGACGCTGTTCTCCCTCTCTGCATTCCAGGAACGCATCTTGTTCCTTTTCGATGAAAATTGCCCAGTAAAGCTTATAAGGCGGTTAAAGAAAAAAGGCTTCAGAAGCTGTGTATATTAATCCAATTCTTAATATTATCAGAAAGGGTTTGCCTTTCTCTGAAATGCTAAGATAGTTGTATTAATGTAAGATTTGAAGTAACAAGATAAGGTTAATTCATTTGCAGGGCAGTCGAGGGCCCAAGGGTGATAAAGGACCGAAAGGCGAAAGTGTGAGTCATATTATTCGTAGAAAAACATGTTTCGATGTAGCCTTCTATATTGATCGAAAAATTTACTAGTTCGCCTAACTGTAATATTTAAATTCATGTTGAGTTATTTGTATCATTTCACATCCTTAAGGACTTATCAATGTACTTTTGAATTTCTTGTGAAAGATCGTTCCATCCATCCAATTCATTTTGCAAACCAGATTTTAATTATCTTTATCAAAGCCTACTCGGTTCAACAGACAAAGTTTTATGTCAAAACGTCGAAGAGTAATGTTATCTCTCTTTGTTATTCATTGTTATGAACTGTTCAGTGATCATGTGTTCATTTCCAGGGAGGTTTTGGTCCTATTGGTGATTCTGGATTGAAAGGAAAAAAGGGAGAGCCCGGAGAACGTGGACTGCCTGGTCCACCTGGAAACATCCTTGTCAGTAAACTCTTCAAATTTTATTTAACCTCTAATGACCATCTCTTTGAAGCAGGTCATCGAGCAGGGCAACGCGATTACTTTGGGGCTATGAATAAGTGAATATGAATCATTACAACACAATGTATATCTCTAGCTTAAAATAAGCATTGCCCTGCTCATCATATTTTCCTGACCTGCCTTTGACGTATATTGAAAAGCCTCTTAATGATAAAAATAGCTATTTCGTTGTATTTTCTATCACTGGGAGCTTGATGTTTTATCCATTTATATTGTTAACGAGAAAACAATATATTTTAATCAATTGACTTGTATTGATATTTTCAATCCCTTCATCGAGGTTGTGCACATTTTGCTTAACCGATACAGGACTTGCCGATGAACTCATCCTGACCTAAAAAGGCTAGAGATAAAATTGTCTATTAAATAAGATTTTTCTATTTCAAGAGAGACAGCACTCGAGTAAACGAGACACGATTCCCCTCTTATCATATTGACATCACCCTAGGTTAATTTTCAATCCGCATTTTGAAGTTTCTCAGTTAAACTTCCCTAATTTAATAGAGTTTTTCAATTTATATTTACTCTTATCATCCCTTTTGCCAAGTTAAAGACCCTTTCGACCAGAATCAAAAGATTTCATGAAGATTATAACTTGTTTCTGAATCATTTGACAATTTGGTTTGCAAAGCATTTCCGCCATTATTGGAAAAGGATTGTCAAATTCATGATTGCTTTGAACTATGAACTCTGAAACTGTTTTCGACCGTGAAAGTAAATCGTTTGAGAGCCAATATTACGGTGGCCCACAAAGGCAATACAAACATTTTTAAACGACTACAAATATTTCGAAGCTAGCACAGGAATCTATAACTTGATGTAAAACACTATGGTTTTACTCGCCATCGAACGTTACTAGACAACAACAACATTTCCTACTACAAAAATAGATTCCACTACAAAAATAATTATAGTCGTTTAAACATTTTTGTATTGCCCTTGTGGGCCACCATACAATTTGACCAAATAGTGGGATTTCAAGTCTTGCAAAGTTACAGAAAAACCAGAAAAATATGAAATTACTTGCTAGATTGTTGTTTTATTCAGCAGCACGTACTTATTTCAAACTTGCTTTTTAGGAGAAAGGACCGTCTAGTCTTCTCCTCCGAAAAGGCGTCTTAGGCCAAATTGTCTATCGTGAGGGCCCTCAGGTAAATTCGATGTTCAATCCTTTTGCATCGCAGTTTTAAAAAGAGCTGTTCAATCGCAGATTTTGTGTGTGTTTTGTATCAAAACTACATATAGGGTTTATTTAATTTGTTTAGCTAATCCAGCACTACCAAAGCTGTCAAAATATTATATACACAAGAGATTTACATAACGATGATTTGCGCTGATGTTTTCTTGCAACAACGTGGATTCTTCCCACGTGATTATTCTCTTGCTTCATTTTAAGTGGCTGGAATACCAGGGTTGATTAATTCAGGGGCTATTTTAAGCCTGTATATCATGCGAGGCCTGTTTTCACTAACTTACCAATCAAAACCCTCCAATTAGCCAATGGATAATTGAGTATTTGCCGAATTTGCCACTAATGATTAGCTACTTTCACTGAAAATCAATGAATGTCTTGGTGAGAAAGTCAACTACCATTAAATACTTTTTCAATTTCTGGTAAATGATTATTTTCACAATGGGATGGGTTTTACGAGGAATTGGTTTATATATCCGTATGATAGGTTATGATATGTTAGATGGGAGTTCCCTTTCTTGGAAAGTGGATTATTTTGAAAATCTCAACATTGTCAAGAAATTTCAGCAAAAATGTTAAATTCCATACAACCAACCTTTCAGTAAAGCGGAAAGCAAGTTTATGGAAGGTTTCCTCAGCAAATACCCAAAGAAAATCTGACAAAACTCGAGTGTTGAATAATACTCACAAAGGAGTTCAAATGTTTATCAATCTTACAGAGAAAAAAATTCATCAACTTGTTTTTGTGTTTCCCGAACAGTTAGCATATTGTTAATTTGTAGGGACCACCAGGAAGTCGTGGCTCACCAGGCCCAAAAGGAGAGAGGGTAACTAATTTAGATTTTATTTGCATCAATCGAAACCAAACTATTTGCATTAATTCGAAACTGTTAACCAAATTCTGTTTTGTAAAGTTTTAGAATATCAGGGGTTTCAAGGACTTTTACTTTCTGTGCTCAAGAGAGAGTTTGCCAGCCACCAAATTCTTTTATCGATGCTCAAGTGACCCCTTTGTCCAACATGCTTTTGTACCTGGATTTTCAGCATAATGATGAGACAAAATTTGGTTTGATGGAGAGCTACTGTTTATATCCTTATTTGGTAGGAAAACTTCATGCTTCCACCCCCTCCCCCCATTTATCCGTGCCAGTGTCAGCTATGTTTTAGAAATCGCTCCCCAGTTGTTGAAAGTTTCTCTATTTACAGTTTTTCTGTTATAGATCTCATCCCTAAATATACCATATCAAGATCTTATTTTAATCTTAAAGAGAAAGTTAATTATATATTCTTGCAAATGTTTCTGAAAGTAGATTTCAGATTTTTGAAAGGCAACAGTTGAAATATTACTGCAGATTTTGGCAGGGGCGTAACTTGGCCAATAGGTTTGGGGGGGTGAAAAGGGTTTCTGCCCTGCAAAAATGAGTGGTGCCCTGCAGACCTCGTAGCAACGGTTTGTCTATAGGTTACTAGTGAAAGCTTGACCAGTGTACACTGGTCTTTACCAAGGACAAACTTCTAAGCAATAAAAACAACTTGAAACTTCATTGCCTATGAAATTTCTATTTCTCTACGTGAGCGTAAATTGTTTTTTTATATTCACTTCATTTAATGTTGGTTTGCAAAATTAAGCTAATAAACAGCTAATTGGGGGGGGGGTACATGATGTAGACAGCGCAACGAAATTTAGCCCAGTGGGGCTAAGAGTCGAGTTTAGTGAGGTAGGAGGACCCACCATGGTTGGGTCCGACGTGAAGAAAATTTTTGAAACTATACCTTGTAAAAGGGCTAAAAAGCATCTTTCAGACAAAAATTTAGCAAAATACTATTGTGCTAAAAGAACTGATTGTTTATTGAAAATATTATTGTTTATTGGGAAAACTAGGGAGGGGGATGTCATGCTAAAACTCTAGTGTTAGACGTTGGGGAAGGAAAGAAACGGCAACCTTTCGTTACAGATTGCACGTAGTTGTGAATGACAGAGGAAAATGTTGTTTTGATTGGGAGAATTTTTTTTCCTGAACAGAAATGTGCAGTTTCTTGTATCAAGAAGGCCATGTTTACACATCCAAAATTAAAACATTGCAATGATACAGAAAATGATTTACTGAATTAATGCAAATTAGAGAAAAATAATAAAAATATACGTGAAAAAGTTAGCAATTAGATGAAACAAAATCGGTATCTTAACAATTTATTATGTTTTTAGTTCATGCACTGTTAAAAAGTAATAGAAAAAATGATAAAAAAATTCCTATTGTAATATGTTCAGCGGTCTAAGGACTTATTTTCAGATTCAAACGAAAGAACATCGACAAATTTCTCAAAGCAACAAGATGTATATCGACGAAATGCTTTTACAAGTAAATCGTAATTTTAGACTAACTGGAGAACCTTTCACAAGCGCTCTCATAAAACGAAGTGAACTAATTGTGTAAAAATCTAAATACATAGTTGTGCAATATAATAGCATAGCTCAAGGGACAAATAAATGATACGTGAAGGTCTATTTAAAATCTGCAAGGTTAATAGGATTAAAAGATATAATGCGGAGAAAATACAAATGTGTTACTGAGTTAATTAAAAAACGTGAACGTAGAAAACAAGCAAAATGAGATTCGAAATAAACTTTCATTAAATTAAAATGCTGAGCAACACAAACAAGGCGTGGCGGTGCGGTCGCTGCGAAGCATGATATGTGTTGCAAGGCAAAGCACAAAGCATTGTTACACTATCTCGACCAAAGCGAGGGACTTCAGCCCCTTATCCCCCCCCCCCAGTGACGCCGTGCTTGTCATGAAAATAATTTACAACTTAAATTAATTTGCATGACTCAACCTTGCCCTCATAAACATATGCATCAATCATTGCATCCATTGGCTATGACTTTCGGTAAGAAATGCTTTCGCTTTGCAAATAACGGAGCTTTTCCTTACATACCTGTTCCGTTCTCTAAAATGCAATGTCAGGAAGGGAGGTTCATAACAAATACGATATTTCCATTTCAAAATTCCTAAACGGCTCTTTACGAACTTCAGAGGTGGCATTTCTGCGTGGCAATAAAGCTCTTCTTGGCGCCCTGCGAAATCTTCGATTGCCCTGCGAAATCGACTATTTTTTGGATTGGGGGGGTATCACACCCCCCCACACCCCCCCGGTAGTTTCGCCCCTGGATTTTGGGGTCTCAATAAGTTTTAAAGATGGCTTTATTGGAAAGCACAGCTGTTTCCTGACTATAGAGTAAATCTCCTTTAATTAATTATCTCGCGTTTGTGAAGTATGTTGAAAACAGAAAGATCAGACGATTAAGTCGATTTTCAGGGAGATAATGGCCCAAGAGGAGACAGAGGAGAAAAAGGAGAAAAGGGAAGAACGGTAAGACGTTTCTTCGTGGGTGTTTTTATTCGCTTATTGGAATGAATCTTTAATTTTTCTATGCTTTTGTTATTGGTGTAATATTTATATGCCACATATTTCCTTTCAACTAATCCTTTAAAATTTGCCAATCCGTTATACGCCGTGTCACAAAACTTTATCGTTGCCAATTTCTCTTAGAAAACCAAGAAGGTTTCGTTATTGCATAATTTTCTCACGAAGAGTTCAATTTTGCAATTATCCCATGTCCAATTTGTCATTTTTTTCTTTCAAGTTTGGTTTTTCATGCAAATATGGCATCAGGATCTATCCTTTGCCACATTAATTCTTTTGCCCTTTCTACGCAGGAAAGCCCTTATGTTTACCACCAACGTACGTTAACTTTGCCTCTTTCTTAAAGAGCTTTCAATATGACCTTATCATGCAAGTTATAGAAATTGAATGTCAATTCCAATCATATAGGGCAATTATGGACCAATTGGCCTTCCAGGTAACCCAGGAAAGAACGCGAACAAGGTTAGATCTTTGTAAGCTTTACTTTCGTTTTTCTTTTGTCATACACCGGCAACCCTTCTTGTCCCTGACTGATTTTGCTACATTCCTTACATTTCATCTTGCATATCAACATCTTAAATCATTCTCTTTTCTGGAATGCGTAGAAGAACTGTTATCTTTCTGCTGTCACAGCTTTGAATGAAAACCTGCGCCTCTTTTTCCTGACGTAGGAAGGTAAACTAAGCTATATTTTTTCTACATAAAATCATTCAATTACTTTGGCCAGTCTTTGCGGAGAGTGCAAGAAGTGGAAATGCAAAGTGCCCGAAAGCAGTATACATTTGAATTTCAGTTACTTTACAAATTCTTTCTCTTGGCTTGATAGTTAACTAAGTTGTTGCCATTCACAATCACAGTTATATGATATAGACATCTGAGTTCACCTCTAAAGTCCCTCTTTAAAAAGTCAAGTTTTCCCCACAGGGAGCCAAAGGAGAGCAAGGAGAAAAAGGTGCCCAGGGACAAATGGGAATTCCTGTGAGTATATCTTTGGTTTTAACCGTAACATTATTCAGGAAACAAAAAGAAGCACAGGGCCAGGATGGCTCAAAAAATTACCGAAACGATTTCAAGATTAAAATATATTAAGGTGTAAGCTTCTACATTTAAAAGTTTTTTCTTTTCTTGTTTTCTATTTTGCTAGAGAACAAAAGGTGTGTACAGTACGTCTAAAGGAAGACATTGATTAAGAATTTTCTAATTTTTGGAAATGAATATCGCTCAAAATAGGAAATTATGGTTAAACAGTTTTCATCATCACCGTATTCCTAGATCTTATCAGTTATAGAATTGTTATGCTGATGTTTTTTTATAGGGCATGAACGGACCTATGGGACCACAAGGCCCATTTGGCTGGAAAGGAGGTTCTGTAAGTTTCGTTATCGCTGACTGAGGCATTGATAAATAATTATGTAACGTTTTGAATCAAATTATTACCCACGGTTAGAGAATTATGCTTCAGCATGTCCTGGTAGAAGCATTGTTGATTATCTATACAATTCTCGATGATTGGGTTTTGAAAATTGAAATTAGAGCCTCCTTTTTTCAAATATCTTCCTGTGAGAAAGATGGAAGCTCATTTTGACGAAATTTTTTATTACGTAATAGACGTATGAAGTAAGTCGTCAGTGTTTGCGCTTCCTGCACATGGGAAGTCGCAGATTCATTTTAATGTTCTCACCTCTTACGGGAGAAGTCACGGTTTCAAGCCCACAATCCGGAGAAGTACCAACCCTTTCATTTCATGTGGCTAGCATTTCATCTGCTGGCCTGTCATTCTTAATAAAACCATAGTCAATAGAAAAACCGTGGTTGGTTTGGGGAGGCCTATTGTTCTGTAGTTTCACGGGATATTGGAGCTTATTGGTGCACAAAAGCTTAGATAGTTTTATCAACAGTATATTAGGCGAGGTTATTTTAATAATTTAGAAACCGTCTAGCGAATGATTTCATATACTTTTGTGGTTTTTTTTCTAACTTTGCCAAACCAAAATATTCCAACTGATACTACAGGTAAACGAAAGTAAGTACTTTGAATTGTATAAAGTTTAACCCTACTGCCCCAATAGCAAATCCTGTGAAACTTGAGATGACAACTCTTGTTTACAATAAAGTTGTTTTTGCTTTCATAGGGTATTACTGGCATGCCTGGAGTGCCGGGAGACCCAGGTAAACCAGGTGAAAAGGTACAGTTACTGTTTTTGACATTTCTTAAACCTCAGTCCCCTTATCGTCTCGAGAGAACAATAGCTGTTTTTGTCAAGAGACAGTAAGTTTTTCTCCAGTCACTGAAATAATAAATTTTTGTTGTGATGTCGTCACTGTTTTTTCCATGACTGTTATTCATTCCTATTCTGTTCAGCTCATTTAATCACCTTTGGAAGGGAAAAGTAAATATGAAAATTACGTAGCTTGAGGGAGATCTATAGCCGCCTTCCCTGCTCAATATTTTTGTTGAATCTGGATCTTGTATAATAACTACAGTGGATCCTTTCACATAATATAATGTATTAAAATTTCACATAATATCTTTCCAAGGACCAAGTAATCAACTCCCTTATAGCATATTTGTCATCTTAAAATATTCTTTTTTTATCGTCAAAAGGTGTATAATTTCATTTCCGTAAAACTTTGGACCATAAAGTAATGTTTTAGATATCTATCCAATAACAGTAATCTATCCAAAAATGCTTTGGGATCATTTAGATATGGACCATTTTATTGTTTTGTTTTCATTGAATCAAGGGAAAACAAGGAGACAAGGGCAAGGCTGGTGACTATGGCAAACAGGTTTGTCCTTTTCAATTGCACGAACTTTCATTTACAAAACGGGGTATTTCTAGCATAGAAACAATGTTATGGTGAATAAGAATGTCTGTAACCTGGGGAAGGGGGGGTGATGAACTTTGGCGAGCCTACCTCTTCAGTTACAGACATAGCTGACTTGCTACAGAGGTAAGCAGGCGCAGAAACTGTCTGCAAATTTGACCATAATTCTTTCTATGCTATTTGTCAAATTGTATCATATGAAAATCATTCACAATACTTTCCTGTCTAGTATTATTATGTCTCCTTCTTCGACCCTTTCTCTCCAAGTTAATCATACAGAGTTTTAGATATCATCGATGCTATTTTCTAGGGTGAGCAAGGTGTTCCAGGTCAAGATGGGCCTTTGGGGCGCAAGGGAGCACAGGTTTGTACACCTAATCTTGTTCTGTATTATTTTTGTCAACTGATATTTGCATTAGTTGTATTCCACTTGAGTATAACCTAGTCGGCACCACTACGTCGCTATCATGGTGGGCCTAGTGAATACTGACACGGATTACACATCCAGCGTGTAGTTTCGATAAGATGAACACCTATATCAAGTTTTATCTTACAAATTTTTATCTCATGTATATTAAATATTTTCCATCTAATATTTCAAAGTATCAGTTATTCTATCAAAATTATTCTATTTAAACAAAATTGCAAGGTAGCATATTTTTATCTCATATTATTGCATTGTTATATTATTGCATTGCTTCCCCAGGGTATGAAGGGTATTCGCGGTGCACCCGGAGAAATGGGCCTTCAGGTACTGCCGCTAGGTATTGTTTTCCTTAAAACACGCATCTTTGATTTCATTTTAAATGCCTCTTTGACATCAGCAGTCATATCTTTGCTCATTTTATGCATCCATATTTGAAAAATTCGTCTAAGGCTTCATTATTGCTTGTAAAGTGCTATATTTGTGCCCGTAAGTTGTTCCTTGTAGAAATCTCCGAATGATTTCACTGCTTTTTTTACCAGTTACAATATAGCATTGACTGACGGTTAAACGCTTTTAACTTACACCTTGGGCACCTGTAAACAAAGGACATATGTCTCTGTCCCATTTTTTGGGCGATCAAAGTCTTGTAGAAGATAGACATCGGACACAGACCTAACGTATAGATATCTTGTAACGGACCCTAACTTGCGCCCACCGGTCTCCGAAGAAAAAGGTTTTTGTGTTAAATGTCTTCATATTGCACTAGCTTATCAGTTTATTGCATCATATTATTTCAATATTCGGCGCATTTGATCTAAAAGCAAAGTCCTTGTACCAACTCGCCTGTATTGATTTCATTTAGAAGGATATGATTTTATAAATAGCCTGTAGTAACAACATTACGTGTCAAGATTACCTTTTAAAGACACGGATTTGTGTAGGTCTATTTTCTGTCATAACCTAATTTAATATAGCCGAACAGAATGTTTGTAAGCCCTTTGAATCGAAACCACATGGTTCGGTTTCACGTTCGGATGTAAATGCAAATGCGATATTATAGAAGACAGGTGTTTCCTGTAAAACTGTGGTAGTTGAGGAATATTAACCATGTACTGGGTAATCACTGATGCAACTCCTTATTAACAAACTTTGTATATATTGGCTTCAACATGTCAAAAACATATTTATCACGTTTGAAAAGACTGGTACTGCTTGTTTCCCCCCTTTTAATATTACCCATGCAAACCCACATTCAAAAAACATCAAAAACACTTTCTACCGTTCAGTTTTAATATGGTTATATTGATCAGGGCACCCTCTCATCGGAATCTGATTGTCTGTTTTGTCAGGAAATGTTGTGATCCTGTTTCGTCATATAATAACCTCTAACTTAGATTTTTCAGTTGATCACAAACTTTTTTGCCACAAAGATATTTTATATAGATGTAAGCTTTAAAATGCAGGATAGGAAACGGCTACTAAGGTGGCCAAAATACGTTTAACTTGACTTGACAATACACAACACTCTCTTTGACAATTGAAACTTTTTAAGATACAACCGTTTTGAGATCTTCCTGAAAAGATTGTTTTAAAGGCTGAAAATTTATTGAACCTAAGCTAGTCTTCATACACCAAAGCATGTTGAGCGAGAAGTTACAGTTAGCGTGAATATGTTGCTTTGAGTTGTTAATTATTGATATTGATACTCTCTGACGCTCATTTGTTCTACTACTAGGGTCTCAAAGGACTTCCTGGTATCCCTGGTGAAAAAGGAGAGTCTGGAAGGTCAGGAGTAAAGGGGCTCGCAGGGCCACTTGGTCGACCTGGACCGCCTGGATACGCTGGTGACTATGGCCCACCAGGCCAAAAGGGTGTACCTGGTTTGCCAGGCCGGTCAGGGAAGCAAGGTCCAGTTGGGCCTAAAGGAGAGCGGGTAATTCTGACTGCTTTGTCTATATGGCATCGTGCATTGTGCAACAGAAGGGTCAACAGTAGTCTTCGTTTATCTTCGCACTATACATTTATTGCTATTCCTATGTTTCACGCAGCGTGGTTCTCTTAACCTCTTTTTAGACAGACTTTTTCCCAAGATTATAGCAGAGAACACTCTAGCTTTTTCCAAAGATGAAGAGCAGGTTGATATTGCAATGTCGTGTTATTCCTAGACACAATTGGTTGTTTCCTATAGAATCCGTGCTTTTGTAACTGTGTTTCTTATCAGAGATGACAGGTTACGCACTTTGCGAAAAACTCATTACTAAATTGAAACTGCTTGGTGGCATATTGAGAGACACAACTTGACTGATGTATATGTGAGAAATAACACCATGAGATAATGTAGACTGTGTTTTTTTATACTTCATGGTATTCTTCATTAGGCTAAGAGCGAACATAACTATCCCTTATAGGGTGCTGTAGGGTCTCCTGGCATCTCCGGCATTCCTGGACCAGATGGCGAGACCGTAAGTAGACATGTTTATCTTACTTGACACTCGAGAGTCAAGAAGGTATTCATCCTACCTCTGGCCATAATGTCAAATGCTTCAAAACTTTCCTACTAGGAGCAATGAAAACAGGGTGTTGCTAAGGTGTGGTACTTAAAATTCATTGTTTTCATTGGCCTTCCTCCTGGCTGATGGTCGTTTGATTGCCATTCTTTCTTGACTCTGTTATTTATTTACCCTCATCACTCACTTACTTGCATCTATATCCCAACTCTAAAATCTTCTAAACGGCATATCTAACTATTTTCAAATAGCGAAAATTCGAAACTCAACGTTTTATCTATATACATTGTTGATTTGCCTAATGTATTATCGTATCATCAATTTCTACAAATACTGTTTTGAATTTTGTACAGGGTCCTGCTGGTAAAGATGGAGAAATTGGTCTTACAGGAGACCCAGTAAGTAATCGCTTGTTTAACTCTGAGTAATCGCTTGATTATCTTTTGTAATGAGACAGTCCAGTGTTTCGGTTCTTCTTTGAGGTATTTTCTACAAGCAAATAAAAGCTCATGTAACTGATAAAATATGGTTTGGTATAAAAGGCGGCATTATATGTGGTGCATCATTTTATTTTTGAGGACTGCCACCTGTTATCATGCAAGCATCTAGAAAGTTCTTTTTAAATTAGTGGCGCAACAATTTTTCAAAATACTGACTCTCTAGTATTAAAGCTTTTACCTTTCTTCAAGATAAGAGAAAAGCTATTTTACGATGGTGTTATTATAAAATATTTCTTATTGCTTTGCACTTGGCAGGATTCATCATCCCCTAATCATTGTTTTGCATATATTAAAATAGGGAGCGATTGGCAGGCCTGGGAGCTATGGAGGAACAGGACAAAAGGGAGACCCGGTATGATAAACATACCTTCACATTCTTTATCCATGGAGGGTAAACGTACCTTCGCATCAAAAGCATTCGACCGATAATTTAACGGCTTGATTTATCTGTCAATCAACAAGTGGCCAATCAGTTAAGCGTCGCACTATACCAAGCTTGTTGACTGGGTACTAGTTTATTGACGGATGGCGTGTTACTGTGCATGGTACAAACCGAGTAGCTCCCTTTTTTCAAGACATGGGCGAACCCAGCATTGACGTTGTTTTCTCAGCTTGTCTCAATTTTCAACTTCATCAAGAAGTAATAATGCAAGCACTTTGAGTGCAGTAGTCATCTTCTATCTTCCTAAATATCTCCTAAAGTTAGTTGGCTAAGCGCGCGCAGTTGGTTAAAAAGCGCCAAAATTCAATCATCGCATCGTTGTTGTTTTCTTGCGCTGGTTACGTTCGTTTCAATAATCGCGTTTGCTTACAATCAGTTACACTTTAATTATGGACAATATAATGAAATATAACAAATTCTGTGCGAAAGGAGAGGCATCAAGCGTCAATGAAGAAACTGTAGCGCAGAGGAGCTACAAGAAAGTGCAGGGGGACTGATTTAAGCCACGGCTTTGATGAGAGATGCAACGCTCATCCTGAAAGACCACGATGACTGTGAACATATCTGAAGAGAAAGTGAACAGATAAGGCCGCAATTGCCTTTCGTTTTTCGGATCGTAATGTCGCAAAACTGTTCAGCCTTTAGCTCGCCTTGCTCGTCGTCGTATAGTGTATTGTCAGATTCTGACATTAGCTGTCACAGCATGATATAAAATTCTTTTTTCTGCCAATCGAATAATGTCTACGCCTCTTCTGTCTAAGCATTTGCCTATCCAACCGAGAAATGTCTGTCTCTGTCTTCCTCTATCTCTTTTTCCTTCTACTTTCTCTTTTACCCTTTGGTATTCGATACCTCTTTTCCTAAGTACGTGAAATGTTGGATCGTTTGACCACCAACGTTGGATCACATTCCAACATAAAAGAAAAATGTTGGGCAAAATGTTGGGTGAAATGTTGCATCCTTTGACCAGGACTTTACGGTCACATGAAAAATGATAAGCTTAAGAGGTGTTTGCCGCCCTTTCAACCAGATGTTTACGATGTTGTTCATTACGGTAGCATGATATTGATAGGCTTGTTGTGTGTTTGCTTGACTTTTCCACTTTGTATGCTTTTCAAAGACCATTATCGAGATATTGTGTATTTTTTCTTTGATGACTAAACACTTCATGATTTTATGTCAAGTTCTATTCAATCTTCAGTTTTTCACTATTTTTTTATCTTTTGGTATACTTATATATGTTGTATAGTTAAAACGAAGAATAAAAATGTTTTGCAACCCACGTAAGTGCAATTTAATGAGACAAGACGAATTTGAAATTCTTTCCTATTCTGACTTTTTTGCTATAAAAAATTGCTTTTACAGGGTGAATCTGGTCCTCCTGGACAAGATGGGGAAGCTGGCTTGCCAGGAAAAGACGTGAGTTTCGTTGTTGCTATCGTTAACAAAAATGAGGGTTTGTTTAAGTTACAAACGTACCTTTTTTGCAGTGTGCTTGAACTAAAAAAACTGACAGATTTGCAACTTTCAATTTTTAATGTACTACAGGCAGCGCAAGTGACTCGTTATTTTATTTTGATTTTAGATTAAGGTTTGGTGAAAGTTCCAAATCTTAAGTATCAAAATTGATTGATAATTATGCTTGTGTTGGTACCTATATGACCAAGTCATTCAGTTTACTGTACGAGTACTAGATATTCCTCATTCATTCAATTCCAACCGTACCTAACTGGTTTCTGATGACTAGTTAACAAAAAACTTGAGCTGATTTTTGTGTTTTAGGGAGAGACTGGGACTCCAGGAAAGTCTGGTGTACGTGGAAAACAAGGTCCTAAGGTTTGATTGAATTACTCTACTTTTTGCTAATGTAATGTCGTAAATGTCCCTGCGATTACTCATGCGGCCAGTATTAGACAGAATAAGCCGGTTTCGTTTTAGTGTCGCTGTCCTAGATTCCGTATTAGCCAAGATTAGTTTGGCTTGTCTAGGTTTGCCCACAGTGATTCATTTTCCATCGTTGTGTTTTCATGTGAGATTCTTTAGAAATAATCAATTGGCAGAGTCAAAAGCATTTAATCCCTTCAACACAGAAGAGTCTGTTTTGATGGAGAAAGAGACACAAATTTCCAGTCTGATATGAATAAAGAAATTGGCTATTAAAGTTTCATGATCTGAAAAAGTATGCCAACGGCTCGGGGAAAAAAACCAAACCAAGAATAAAACAACGGGGAGTGTCAATGCCGATTGATAAAAAAAAGTTGGGGAAAGAATGATAATTTATTGTCATCAATTATTATGAACTTGGTGTCAAATTTCACCCGATACACTCAACGTAACCTTTGATAAAACTTTCTCATCTGTTATCTAAATCTAAACATTTTCGAACCAAAGTTATTTTTTTATAATGTTTTTATAATATTTTTTTGCAAATTACATGATAATAAAAAACTTTAATAATGCAGTGACGTAGAAATGGTGATTTCTAAGATTGGTTTTTTTAACTATCTGATACAGGAAATTTGGTCTTTCAATGTTTGAAATTAAATCATTTAATAAGATATCTGAATCCATAAAGCCGCTATCAAAGTCGCTCCCGGTAGACAATGCCCCTGGGGAACTAACGTCACTTTTGGACGCAAGCTACTGAAGAAAGGTTTTACACTAGAAAGACCACTGATTGAATTCATTAAAACAGTATAGCCCTCGTAGTTCCACTATGTAAATCTGTTCGCATAACGCTGAATGCATCAATACTTTAATAAAAATGCTACATTTTATTTTCAATGCATGAATATTTTGCATTTTATTTTAGCTTCCCCTGGAGCATTTTGATCAAGCCTTAAAAGCGGCTTCAGTATCATACTATTTAATGGCTTGGTGAACCTAATAATATATGAGATTATTTGTGGTACAAGACTTTAAAATGGCTTCGAAAAAAGCAAACATTTGAGTATTCTAAAGCTTTTTATCTTACGCTCTTCAGAGTATAAAACGTCTGAACATAGATCGAAAAATTATATGCTAGAAAATGTATATACCCAGTTGTGAATCGGAATAAGCCAATCAGAAACGCGACCACATAAATGCTGAGGTTGCCCAGTCAGTGCCGCTTGCCTATTGGGAATGTAACCAATGGATTCCTAAGGTGAATAGCGGTTTTTTCATGCTTATGTAGATAGATTCCAAAACTGCTAGATGGAACAACGATCGGGCTTTACTAGTAATCCGAAACATGTCGCCATTATAGTTTTTCGCACAATCTGGGTTTTCCAGTAAAGTGCTACCCGATAGCGGAATCGCACGTTTTAGTTGTAGTTTTAGATATGTATATTGAGATTCTAGATTGTCTTTTCTTTTGTTTTCCAGTAATCCTGCCCCCCCCCCCCTTGGTATTTTTGTGTGATAAAGTACAAGTTTCTAACTGTGAAAATTTTTCATGTATAGCCTCATTTACCGGTCTGCCATAAAATGCTCGTGTGAACACTAGGCATCTGTTCCTCATTTGTGTAAAAGTTAAATTTTTTATTGAATTTTCATTTATCTGTTAACAGAATTAGTGCTTTTCTATACCCGGCACCTTTAAGCCGTCGAAACCTGTCTGGTCTAAAATCATAGGTTTTTATTCATTGGCCCATATCTTCATACTTAAAGAAACGATATCTGAAAGACATCTGAAAGATATTTGAAAGATATTTGAAAGATGGCAAAATTTTGAAACAAATCATACTATAATAGGCCTTGAAAAAGCAAGTAGGTGATATAGAAAGTCCAATTAGAATTCTGGATCCCGAGAGTTTGGTATGAGCAGTAACTAACTGCTATTTTGTTTAGATAAATTTTTCATTGGATTAATTAACCAATCTCCATTAGGAAACCACAGTCCCTCGACCAGAATGTTGCAGCCACTTAGTGGCTGCTTTTAAGGTCAACTTCATCTATTAATAAACGTACCGATTTTTTTCTTGAGATGATTGAAATTTTCTTGTAGGGTTCTCACGGAAATCCAGGGAGAAACGGATATCCCGGGAAACAAGGTCAGAAAGTATGTATTATTATTTTCTTCTGCTTGCCACTGTGCCATCTGTTCAACGCAGCCAACCAATCTTCCCTATGAATGTTTGTTAGAAAACCCGATCTTCCGTAGCCACTAATTTTATGCGTCTGCGTGTTTTTACCAATAAATATCTTGAATGATACCCTTTGAATTGAAACATGAACCCTTCCGTTGAAGTTGACTTAATTGAAATGTTTGCGAATACGTGAGTAAAAAATTGGAGGAGCCTCGGCGAACTCAGGTTAGAGTTCTACGAGGCTCCTAGTAGCATCGATGTCGGGTTGAATCATTTGACCGTAAGATATCTCCTATCAGAACGTAATAAACTGTGCTCAGCACAGTGAGCCTCGATGCGAAGAGGAGGTGAAGTAAAACATTGATTCCAAAGGATGACTAGAAGTGCTTCATTTACCTTATCGCTGTCGGAATTTGCCTTTTGATACAGTAGATTGAATTCAGTAATAAGAGTATTGAAATGGCGGAAACTTCAAGATATACTAATAAAGTTGAAAGAATACGCCAAAAACGCATGATCTTGAATCGATTATCACCATCCCAACAATTTTCTTGTTCAAAGACCGCTTTTAAAGTTTGATTTAAAGTCCTTTCCTTTTTGGATAGATATGATTGACTCGGGTTTTTATTCATGTGGTTCGTCTTTGTACTTTGCTGAAAGAAATTGATTTATGCAATGATAATTTTTCATTAAATCGTCATTTACGCAACCGCACAAATTATCTTAGAAAATGAAAAATAAAAGCTAGAAAACCTAGAAAAATTTCCTTAGAATTTTTTTTTGAACTTTAGAAAGCATTTCCAGGAACTAAGCCAGGTCAAGTAATAGAGAAAGAGGTCAACCTTATTATTGAATAATTAGATGGAAATCGGGGTCCTTATGTTTTGCTATAATCCACAAAACTCAAGATAGACTGCAAAATTCATAAAGTAAAGTATTAGGATGAGAAAATAGCTGCCTATTTTGAAGTAATGCAAACAAACTATTTCAGATTCAGCAAGCTGTCTGTGGCCAATTACTAATACTTTGCTCAGTTTTCATAGTTCAGAATCCTTAAGTGGTGACGTCGCAAAAACCTGTCTTTCGTATTTTAAAGTGTTGACCTGAACCTGAACGACCAGTATGAAATACCTTATGTGCCAAATTAGTTTAATATGTTACAAATTGGCTGAGATATGTCCACCTGCTGACAGGATATTGCTTCAACCAACAACATGCCGCAAAGAAAAGACAATTTTCTAAGATCTATGGACCAAGCCAAAATAACCGTACTTCATTAGCAAAGCACAGTTCTTTCGCTTGTTATATCTCAGTCAACTTGCAACATATATAACTGATTTTGCTTTAATAGTAGTATTTTGTGTCGTTCTTTCGGGTTATTTATCAAAAATCAAAACTCTTGCGTTGTGAATTCTTTTATAACTTCACACTAAAGGTTGCATACTGAAAGCGAACAAGTCCAGTCTAATTTTTTAGGTTCTATTTTAGTCATTGACGGAGGAACATTTTAATTCTTTAAGTATAAAGTAAACGAGAAAACAGGCCCAACTATTGATCACTTATGCATTCTCGTTTTAGGGTGATGCTGGGGAACGAGGCGGTTTTGGGAAACCTGGGCTAACAGGAGAGAAGGTAAATTCCCATCACTTCTCACTTTATTTGCAAATTCTTAGACTCAAATTACCAGGAACTTAAATAATAGTATGAACACTTTAAACATCAGTTTGAACGATGCAATAATATGAACGCTTTAAACGTCCGTTTGCCATTTTTTCTTCATTTGAAGCAAGCCCATACTATCTTAAACAAAACTATATAGGCCTTTTTTCAATGTGAAGCAAGCTCTTCGTTTTAGTGATAACATAGTAATGATAAAGAGCTACTCGTTGATAAGATTTGATGATTGGAAAAGACGATGACTGACTCTTTTCTTGCAGGGCAGCACAGGAGAGCCTGGAGATCGTGGAGAGAAAGGACTAACAGTACGTGAAATGTTTTTTCAGTAAATAGGCCATGTATCTATACTTTTTCCATTTCATTAACACGCTATTCATTTTCAAACAGGATACATGAACGATATCTCAAATACTCTTTTATTTTGTTTCCTTTACGACTTTCTATTAATCTTGAATTGTCTTTTCTCATAATGAATTTTGATGAAAGTAAATTCTTTATTTTTAATCTCAAATTGTTTTCTTCTCTCTTATATCAAGGGCTCACCAGGCATGAAAGGCTCTGATGGTCGTGACGGTCGACCTGGAATAATGGTATGTATACCCAATTGCGAAAACATTACGACTTGGAGTCAAAACCAATGTTTTGCAGCATTTTTGTACCCTGTCCTTATAATCACAATCACAACATTTTATAATCCAAAAAATACAGCATGTCTTTCAAGTACATAAGCTCAAGTCTACTTTCGCGGTTTCTTAGTATATATTATTTTCCACCCCCTTCTCTATTTTTTCTTTTCTAAGTGATTATATCGTCCAAGAATCCCTAATGAATCGTTTCTTTCAGGGTTCTCCCGGCCAGCCAGGAAAAGTAGGAGCTCAAGGACCAAGGGTATGTTCGGTCAGGTTTTTCGACAAATTTTGTTTTAAGTTTGTCCATATTTGTTGACGGTTCCAAATGTATGTCAAGCAATGTCGTTTTCTGTCTTTGATAGTGTGATTCATATTCAGTATTGCTCGTACAAGTTATAGCCGCCACTATTGTCGTGTCAGTTAACAGCATTCAAGAGCATGTTCAATTTTGCATTGCAAACACCAATCGCTACAAGAATCACATCTTATTTCGTTTTTATTTTGCCACAGGGACCATCAGGACCTCCTGGGCCTATGGGAAGTAGCGGTCCTCCAGGCGATCAGGTAAATTTCTTTAGTTTTGTTAGCGATGGTGGCAGTCATTTGGCTTGTGAAAGTGCTTATGGTTTACAAATTATTGATAGTTGACAGTAATGACAAGATTGAATTCTAAGTTTAACTCTTTCTCTTGATTCGCAATTCCTGATCCTCTCTCTAATCTCTTCTATCCATTCAAATTATTTCAAAACCTTTTGATAGAAAAAATTGAATATAACTGTTTTTTCTGTAATGCAATTTAGTTCAAATATTATTGTTCATAGATTTGAGTAAGATATATTTATTATCGCCATAATTTTGTTTATTAGTAAGTACTTGCATACAGGAATCTACAGTATTGCCTTTCATCAGTAAGTTTTTTTTTGATCAAGGTTGAACGGAAAGTTTATCTAGGTTTTTTTAAGCTACTTATCTCCATTTCCAAGGTTTAAGCCATTGTTTCTTTGGAGGCTTTTTGAAAATAGTCGAGTTGCTTTTCATTCTTGGACTAAATTTTTAAGAATTCTTCAATGCACTCTGCTTAAGAATGAAAGTTTTCAATTTTGTTTATTATTTTTACTAGGTATCTTAAGAAAGGTCATCAAATATAAATTGATCCTTATTAGATTATGGCCCGATTCCAAATTCTAGTCTGTAGGTTCCTAATCTAGTAGATTTATGTACGCGGGTGTTTGCTGTAAATTCCCAAATATTCTCATATTAATGTACTTCAAAAGTAACGTTGCATCTTGTTGACATTCTTAACATTTCTAATCATATATTTATAGAACATTAATCTTTTCATTTAATAGAATTCTTTAGTTGCTCAAGGAATATTACTGCCTTTTATACGCTGAAAATTTTGTTTATCCTTTAACGTGTATTTCTTCTGTCGCAGGGAACGCCTGGCAAAAATGGCGAAAATGGCAAGAAAGGCCAGAAAGGCACTACGGTGAGAAAAATAATTGATGCTTTCTAGTTTATAATTATAAATTGATTTTTGCCTTAGTAAAAACACTATATTGCAGTATTGCCTTAGTATAAACTTCTATTCCCGAATACTGTACTAACTTCTATTTTTAAGGGTCCTACTGGTCAAATTGGGGAAACTGGAAAACCAGGAGAGCAAGGCGAAGATGTAAGTTGCACCATTTAAGGATTTCACAAACTTATATTTAATTTAATTTACGAGCACTAATCTTCTTATATAAAATTTGATTCCTTGCACCAAAATTTGTTTTTTTTACGTTATCAATCACAACCATTATCAATCACTACCATTATCAATCACCGCCTTTAATCAATCACCACCACTATCAATCATCACCACGATCAATCACAACCATTATCAATCACTACCATTATCAATCACAACCATTATCAATCACAACCATTATCAATCATCACCACTATCAACCACAGCCGCTTTCAATCACCACCAGTATCAATCACTACCATTATCAATCATTATCAATCACTACCATTATCAATCACAACCACAATCAATCACAGCCATTATCAATCACTACCATTATCAATCACCACCACTATCAATCACCACCACAATCAATTACCACCACAATCAATCACCACCGTTATCAATCACCGCCCTTAATCAATCACCACCACTATCAATCATCACCACAATCAATCACAACCATTATCAATCACTACCATTATCAATCACAACCATTATCAATCACCGCCTTTAATCAATCACCACCACTATCAATCATCACCACAATCAATCACAACCATTATCAATCACTACCATTATCAATCACCGCCCTTAATCAATCACTACCACTATCAATCACCACCACTATCAATCATCACTTCAATCAATCACAACCATTATCAATCACCACCACTTTCAATCACCACCACTTTCAATCACTACCACTATCAATCACCACCACTTTCAATCACCACATCTATACATCACATCAATTATCAATCATCACCATTGTCATTCACCACCATTGTCAACCACAGCTTCTTTAAATCATAGCAATTTTCAATCACATCCATTATCAATCATCGCCATTATAAATCGAAATCATCAATAATCCATATCGTCATCAGTTATCATTGCGCCATCATTTTATTGTAAGCTATTTTTGAAAGATAAAACGTCTTATCAAATAGCTAAATTGCTTCCCTATAACCGTATTTTCTAAACTATTTGAATGATAATTAAGGTAACCAGCATTTGTGCTATATCAATCCTTCAAGATGTTTATTGCTTCATTTCTTTTTTCAATGGTCTTAGGGACCTGCAGGACTCCAAGGGCTTCAAGGGGAAAGAGGAGAAGCTGGACAAGAGGTGTGTAGCTATCTCACTAATATTTTCAACACATTTTTTAAAGGATTTCTTTCTTGATCATGCTAACATTGAAAGGCATGAATTTGTTGCCATTGCTATTTTTGTCATAAACCTGAATCCAAGGGACCTATGGCCTGTCCACGTTTGTTGCATGAACGATAGTGATGTTGTGAAATTGGTTCTCCAGGCATTAATTTGCTTCGTCCCATGACTACAACTGCCAATCGCAGATTCAGGTTTTGAATTATGATCTTCATTAGTCAGAATTTATGCCAATGTCCTTGTATTGGATTGCAAACTTAGAACCTCCATCTGTAACGAAGGCCGTGTACATTAACACTCAGACCTTTTGCTGTCTGAAAATTCTTCAAAAACAGTTGCTGAGTTCTTTCTGTCATTTTCACACTTTGAGAAGACAGGAAAATGTATTGTCCGCTGTTGATACTAATGAAAGTCGTCTTTTGTTTCAAAGGGACCAGTCGGAAAGCAAGGGCCTGCAGGGGACCCTGGCAAAAATGGAAAACCGGTAAGATGATGAAAATGCATAATTTGATGATTACAAATAAAAATTATACTTGTAAGTTAAGGTATGAACGGCATCATTAAAACAATTTTGAATTGAAGCACCTTTGTTGTTGCGATCGACTCTGTAAAAAGGTGGCCTAAATGTTAAGTATCGAGAATGAATAAACATTCAGGTTTGTACACTAATGTTCATAAAGGAGGGCAAGGTATAAAAAAGTATATTTTTATGCTAAATGGCATGTTTATTTTTCTATCTTTAATCATAAATATTTGTTAAGTATATGACGTAGTTAATCAATGACGTAGTTTAGCAGCTGATATGTTTGGCAAAAGTTTCTCTCTAGACGTTGTTTGGTCTCTAAGGCCATTTGTCTCTCGCCAAGGGAGGGGATGCTGTTTGGGTAGTTTGGTCTATCTGTGTTACATTTACCCCCTCCCCCCAAGAAGAAATGATTAAAGTTACCAAAAGCTGTGTTAAGTTTTACTGTTTAGCAATGTTGGACTGCTGATCAATTCAATATTATTTTCAGGGTTCTAGAGGAAGGAACGGCAGGACTGGACCTCCAGGGAAAAATGTTTGTATTATTTATGCATGTTATATCTGTTGCTTATTTCATTCATTTTTATGGCAGATAGAATCCAAGTTATTTTATTTTTCCCGATTCGCGCTCAATCGGAAACACGCTGCTGAATTTTTGAGTTAGTTTTTCAAGCAGAAGACACAAGAGATGAAATTTTGCAAAAGCTTTTCAGAAACCACAAACATATTTAACTAACCACGGCTTAGTTATTTAACATCCACAGATGCTCGTTAGAAGTTTTGTTAAATATCGTTGTGAACACATAAACTTGTATGTTTATAAGAGTTTCAGTTGAAAAGTTCCAGTTACTCCTAGGGACCGCGCGGCCCGCCAGGAAAAATGGGTTTTCAAGGACGACACGTGAGTAATGAAAGCTGCGTTTAGTAAGATGCCTTTATTTCGTTGAAAATTTTTATTTGAGGGCAATAAGAGAGCACCGCCTTTAGAAAAGCTAACTTGTTCCTGAATTGTTTATCGATTACTGTTTATCTATATATCTGTATGGATAGGGCAATACACATTTCCAAGTGCAGCTCTAAGGTGCTAATCTTGCGCTTCACCCTTACATGTTCTTATATAATTAATCAACAACAATCGCTCAGTTCGATGGTGACGTCATTCGTCGGCCAGGACCGGAATGTGCACTCTATTGAAAGGTTGCCTCAATCGTAAGAATTTTAGAGAGTTCCAGTGCGGCCAAACAGCAAATCATCACCACATTATGATATACATAAATGATTGGCTGACGTAACGTTTACCGCTTTGCCAGTGGCAATATCCGAAATATCCCATTTACTTGAATTCTGTTTCAAATCTTACTATTTCATAGGTTAGAGAATGCAGTAATGTGATATTCTAACCTCAAATGTGTTGTCATTAATGTTTTCTCGGGTTACAGGGAAGGACTGGTGAACCTGGAGAAAGAGGTGAAGATGGTGCGCCAGGATCACCCGTGAGTAATATCTATAAAAATTTGGAT